GGATTGCCTGAGCCCAGGGGCTCAAGACCAGCCTGGGCAACTTGGCGAGACCTCGTCTCTACAATAAATCAAAATATTAGCTGGGCATGGTAGCACATGCCTGGAGTTCCAGCTACTTGGAAGACTGAGGTGGAAGGATCGCCTGAGCCCAGCAGATCGAGGCTGTGGTGGCTATGAGTGTGCTAATGCACTCCAGCCTCGGCAATAGAGTGAGACTCTAAAGAAAAAAATATTTTATGTTCAACAAAATACATGTCCATGGTAGTTCTATTTATAGTCTCCCTGAAGTACAACAACTCAAATGTTCAAAAAAAAGCATAATACATAATTCATGGCCATAAAGATACATATTTTATAACTTCATTTATGTAAAGTTCAAAAGCAAAACCAATCTGTGGTATTACAAGTCAGGATTTTGGTTATCTTTGAGGGAGGGAAACAGTGGCTTGGGACAGGGCATGAGGGAGGCTTCTGGGGTGGTGGAAATGTTCTTTTCTTAACCTGGGTAGTGGCTACATGAACATGTTCACTAACCATTGACGTGTACATTTTTTTTTTTTTTTTTTTTTGAGTTGGAGTCTCACTCTGTCGCCCAGACTGGAGTGCAGTGGCCGCTTCCGGCCACCGCAGCCTCCACCTGCTGGGCTCCCGCGATCCTCCCGCCTCAGCCTTCCAAGTAGCCGGAACTACAGGCACACGCTACCACGGCCGGCTGAGTTTTTTATTTATTGTAGAGATGAGGTCTCGCTGCCCAGGTGGGTCTCGAACCCGCGGGCTCAGGCAATCCACTCACCTCAGCCTCCCAAAGGCGCAGGATTACAGGCTGAGCCACCGAGCCCGGCCAGGTCATCTTTGATGTGCCCTGCCCCTCAGTCTGTACATGTTACAATTATACTGTTTTGTATCCTTCATTTTCTACATAGGTAAGGGAGGGTGGTATGCTAGTGTAAAAGGGCAAGGCATTACTAGCCTTGCACAGAAAGTTGTTATTTCCAGTTAAAACAAATGAAGTTAGAAAACTGTGCACAGAGAGACCAGAGAGCCAATAATTGATCTTTATTATACAGAAATGTGAAGGCCATATGCATTAAGTGAGAGGGTGTTTGGCAGTGAACATTACGCAGATTCAGACTGAAGACATTCTCATCTTACTGAGATATAATATAAAAATAAACACTAAGAGTTGCAAGAAAGAACTCGATTCAGCTTCTATCCTCCAATCAAGCAAAAACTTTCCACAGGAAAACCTGGTTTCAATTCATGCCGAATTGTTCAAATGGAAAGAAAGGCTACGTCAGACAAAGAGACAACACATGGACTGACTTGTGTCCTTTTAGGCAACTGAAACTGTATTCAGCCTTGCATTTAGAATTCGTTTCACATTACAATTTATATCTCTATTCATCTAAGAGATATCTGCAGTGACAAACAAAAAAATGTTGAGTTGGGGAGTTTTTGTGGGGCTATGTAGGTTTGGCAGAGAAGATAAATGTACAAACCGTTCATTTAATTACTTCTTTTGTTTATGTTTTTGAGTTGGAGTCTCACTCTGTCACCCAGGCTGGAGTGCAGTGGCCGCTCCCGGCCACCACAGCCTTGACTTGCTGGGATCCAGTGATCCTTCCGCCTCAGCCTTCCAAGGAGCCGGAACTACAGGCGTGCACTACCATGTCCGGCTAATTTTTGATTTATTATAGAGACGAGGTCTCGCCAAGTTGCCTGGGCGGGTCTTGAACCCACGGGCTCAGGCAATCCACTCGCCTCGGCCTCCCAAAGCGCTGGGATTACAGGCTGAGCCACCAAGCCCGGCCATTTAATTACTTCTAATTGGGAAAACCTGATGTCAGGTCTGGGTCACCTGCATTAGCCCTTTGACAGTCTATTACCCTGTAATGGTCAAGAGGCAGAAGCCTATTAAAACATTAAAAATGCTTGACATTAGCACAACTCAGTGCCTGTCCTCTATATATTCAAATACTGGACTTTATGTCAGCATGCTTTTGACACTAAATTAGCCCTCTAAACAGGATCTTTCTCAGTAAAGCTTGTCATTTCCCTCACTCCTGAAGTAAAAAACATTTTAGAGATTTGGCCAAAAAAGATTCTTATTGGAACAAGACTGATAACTAGGAGGGTATCTATGGATTAAATGCTATATAGACAAAACTACTCCTAGAACCCTTAGGTATAGACAGAATTTATCAATTTAGGGAGAAAGCCAAAAATAGGAAAGAAGATCTGGAGTTCGGATATACTGATCTACTCATCACTTGAAACTTATAATTCCTTCAATTCAGTCAGAGCAGAGACACTTAAAGTAGTCTAGAGGAAACAGGACAGTCATGTGCTCCAAGGATGGAAATTGTCATGTTACCTCCCTTGCTCCCTTCCAAATTCTAATGCTCATTGCATGAAAGAGGTGGTTGGGAGATATCTGTTTTTTGTTTTCTTTTTTCATTTAGAATTTTGTCCTAATGAATGAGGGAGCAAGATAATGCTAAGAGGGAGTAATTCAGGAAATTGAATTTGGGACATTCTCATTAGGTTAGAAAAGAAAAAATGAGAAAACCACTAGCAAGACATACAATCCCAGAGACCATGTACTCCATATTCAAAGAGACAGTTATTACAATAAGCTACATTATTTAGCAGAGTCTGAGAGACAAAGGTTGTGAAAACATGTATTTAAGATAGGAAACAAGCCGGGCTCAGTGGCTCAGCCTGTAATCCCGCGCCTTTGGGAGGCTGAGGTGAATGGAATATGAGCCCATGGGTTCGAGACTCGCCTGGGCAACTTGGCGAGACCTCATCTCTACCATAAATCAAAATGAGTCGGGTGCGGTAGTGCGCGCCTGTAGTTCCAGCTACTTGGAAGGCTGAGGCAGAAGGATCGCCGGAGCCCAGCAGGTCGAGGCTGCAATGGCCGGGAGGGGCCACTGCACTCCAGTCTGGGAGACAGAGTGAGACTCCCACTCAAAAAAAAAAAAGACAGGAAACAAACTTAGAAAAATATGATCAATGGTTTGCTCTTCATCTCATTCATATTCTGTAGCTAGAGAATTCCAAGTCCCATTTAGATATTCCTGTTTACCCAGAAGCACACTGTATGAAACTAAACCAAGAAATGGGAGAAAATGTTACTTGGGTAAGTATGGGTCCACCCAGTTTATTCACCTATGGAGTGGAAGTACAGAGAGAAATGAAATCTGCTTATAATGGTCAAGGTCTATGGAGAAGCCCTGAAGTTGCTCTACCCAGGTCATGAACGAGTCTGATTCAGGAGAAGACAAATAAAATGATGGAAACATCTCATCACACAAAACTCAGTGATGGGGTCTCTGACACCCACCAGTCAGGAGGGGAAATGGAGAAACCCACCTGTTGGCTTTAGGATTTATTGAAGGCTGCCAGCACGGCCCAGATCATCTCTGTGGCACTGCGCTTTGTCCCTTCCACTTCAGGGTCCAGTTCTACTAGGTCCTTAGCTCGATTCATTGCCACATCATACTTGTCATCTGTCAGAGAGGAGAAGACATTCTCTAGCACGTCCGAGGAGTGGGCTAGCACCAGGAGGGCTAGTGTTCGCTTGTCCATACGCTGAGGGTCATTTACCCACCGCTCTAGCACACTATCTTGAAGTTTTTTCACTAGTCGCTGTTTCTCTGTTGTATTGGTCACTGGATGAGTAGTCATATCAAATAGCAAGAAATTCTGTTTCTCGGTGGTTAGGATGCCCTTCTCTACTAGGTTCTTTGCAATTCGCTCTCGTACATTTCTTAGCTGGTACTGTAACTTGAAGGGGTTCCAGGTTTCACCTGCAGGAAAAAGAAATAGGACATATGAATAGAAAGAGAAAAAGAAAATAAAAAACACACACCAGTTACTTGGAGCCCTGAATGGTTAAAAGTTTCAAAAGCACAATCTCCATTCATTCCTCAATTCATTTAATCCCTAGTCTTTTTTTTTTTTTTTGAGTTGGAGTCTCACTCTGTCACCCAGAC